CCGCTATTCGTGCTCTGCAACATTTGTAGGGTTGCCATCATCGACATAATTCGTTGTTAAAGTTGTAAAAAAAGTGCAATTTAACCTCACATTTTCCTTTGTACATCGAGTGAACTGAAATTGCGGTGCTGCCACACATCACAAAAAATGTGTAAAAAAAAAGTACTGAAAAGGGAATCAACGAAAACGTAAATAATAAAGTGGACATGTACATATATGATATAGCTTTTTTATTGGATATTTTCACTATATATGGAAGAATTGATAAAAAATAAAAAAATTTTCAAGATATATGGAAGTATTGGATTTTTTAGAAAAAAGCGCCGCAGGCGAAAATTTGTAATAAAAAATCGCGCGATTTTTTAATAAAAATTTTCAAGATATATATATATATATATAATATATTTGTACAATAATATTAATATATATATCACCGATTTAAAAGAAACTCTTAAATATATGTGCATAAATAAGACCGTAAAATTAGCCTTCAATCCCGTAATGCATCACAAAGTATTTTTGGCTAAAAAGAACTATTAACATTTTCAGCGATATGGCACCTCATTCATGGCGGCCATCGCTGAACAATTGTGTGTTTACTATTCTTTGAGAATAGAAAAATATTTTAAGAACACTTTTATAAGCATTAATGGCTAAATATTTAGTGAAAAAAGATGTGCATCCATTTGTTTATGAAGAAATGATGGTGTATTAATAAAAAGAAAAGTGATTAGTGCAGTGTTTATAAAAAACTAAATGTGAAGCAGTGGGGAAATTTTAACAACGAATAACTTAAAAACTATTAGCATTTGTACACAAAATGTTGATGATATCGGTCAATGAGCACCTCCTCAACACCCCCTGCGAATTTCATTATTCGTAATACTTTGGGTGATATAGGAAATGGTCCATTATAGGAAATCTCAGCCATAACAATGGCCGACAGTAACAGCAAATGTGTGCTGCCATACTTCTCGAAGCTATAAAATACAACTATAAACCATATCATTTTCGATTTTGATCCAAGGGCTTTTTATTATAAAATCGATACTTCGATAAATCATGAAAATTTTTAATAAAAAATCGCGCGATTTTTTATTACAAATTTTCGCCTGCGGCGCTTTTTATTATAAAATCGATACTTCGATAAATAATGAAAATTTTTAATAAAAATATGCGCGATTTTTTATGAAAATTTTTCGACCGTGGCGCTTTTTATTATAAAATCGATCCTGCGATAAATTATGAAAATTTTTAATTAAAAATTTTCGCCTGCGGCGTATGTGCATTTTTTCATTGTTTCCGTTTTGTTTTTTTTTTGCATTTTTTAGTATGTATGGCAGCACCGGCATTTGAGTTCAACTGGTGTACAAGGGAAAAAGTGAGGTTGAATTCGGTATTTTTTTCAACTTTAAATGCGAATTACTTAAAAACTATAAGCCTCCGGAGGGTAGGGTCTTCAGATTTAGAATCTGAAAAAGCTCCTCTATACTCCCTAATATTTTGTTTTTTCTAAAGCCTGGATCCGTTTTGGAAAATTTTCCCGCGGTAATTCTCTAGGGTGGGGTAACAACCCCTAAAAAAGGTGCGGAAAAGTCAGGAGGGGTACCAAACGACTTTTGTTAAATTTCGTTGTTTTCTATGAGCAATTACCACGTCAAAAATGCACTAAATCACCAGTTTCCACTTTTAAAACACTACTAAAACGTTTCCGGTTATTATTTTATGCAAACCAAATCATTTATTCACTTTTATTTTATATATTTCGTTAATAAAACAGAGTAAACAAACTTTGCGCGTGCTAAAATTATTATAACCTCAAATCGCTGGTATTGCCACTTTATTTCACATTTCATTTGCGCTATTATACTCAGTTTACACTATACACTTCTTCTTCTTCTTTTTACTTTCATCTAAATAAGATATTGTAACCAAAATATAATAGCAAATTTCGCTATACCATCGCGCGATTTTTTATTAAAAATTTTCATTATTTATCGAAGTATTGATATTTATGGAAAAAGCGCCGCAGGCGAAAATTTTGAATAAAAAATCGCGCGATTTTTTATTACAAATTTTCATTATTTATCGAAGTATTGATTTTTATGGAAAAAGCGTCGCAGGCGAAAATTTTTAATAAAAAATCGCGCGATTTTTTATTAAAAATTTTCATTATTTATCGAAGTATTGATTTTTATGGAAAAAGCGACGCAGGCGAAAATTTTTAATAAAAAATCGCGCGATTTTTTATTAAAAATTTTCATTATTTATATATATATTAAACGAAAGAAGATACCGAAAAGCATTGAACAGTGCACAAATCTCATAAGGAAAAGTGAATTATTACGAAATACTAATACAGTGGCAGCACTATAGCTATTTTGGAATCTCGCGTTTCAGCTGGCAAAGATTGTCAACTTCTTTTTAATAACAAAATAATCTATCTTAGGTTGATAAAACTATGTGTTTCTTTAATAAATAAGTTAAATTATATATTTTAATAGTGTTTATAAAGTGAGAACAGGTGATTTAGTGAATCTTTGTCGGTGTAATTGCCCATAGAAAACAACGAAATTTAACAAAAGTTTTTTGTTCATAACTTTTAAATGGTTAATAATATTATCTCGCCCCCTCCGGATTGTTATTAGGGGGGCCGAAACGCGTCGTTTGGTACCCCTCCCGACTTTTCCGCACCTTTTTTAGGGGTTGTTACCCCACCCTAGAGAATTACCTAATTTGCAAGTTTCATGAACAGCTGATAAATTGGTTGTTTATTCGCAGCATATTCCTAAGAAATTAATATGTTTTAAATTTAAATATGTTTATTTTGTGAATTTCCACAATAAAATGCCACAAACAGTTTCCTCATTAGTTTAAATTTCATCCAGCAACATGCGATCAGCTGTTTTTCTTACTGGCAAATTCTTACAAGTAAAAATTTATCCAGTAAAATCCAGTAAAAACTTGCAACTTCAGCTGTCATTTTTCGCTCTCTCAATTTCCCCTACTTTGCAAGTTTTTGCGTACGAAAACGGCAAAACATGAAAATTCGTAAAAACTTTTACTGGATTTTACTGGAAATGAGTAAAAAAACGCAACTTATATCTTATTATGATTATATCTTATATATGATTATATCTTATTTTATTTCATTTCATTGCGAATATGCTATAAAAAGCTAATTTTGTTTAGAAGAAAATATGAAACTTAATATTTTTCCCCCAAATGGGGATTCATTTCTTCCCGTTTTTATTCTTATTCTACTGAGCTAAGGCAGTGTCAAACCGAGCTTTCACAACTGATGCCACAGTATATACAGTAATAAACCTTTTTGCAGTTTTTCACCATTTGGTCCCCGAGGCGTACTTTTGGGTTGTGTGCAGCGTTTTCGTATTGCGCGCAAAGAACTTATTTTTTTTAGAATAGTTTTGTTTTACAATCCTTAGGAATTGTATTAGTTATTCCTTTAGGGGATTTCCAAAATTATTTAAATAATAATTTATATTTTTAAGGATTTAATATTTTAATATTTAATGTTATTTGTTCAAACGTTAACAATTGAATGAAAAACTTTTACATTTTTTCAACATGAAAATCTTAGATCTGAATAATGACAAATGTAATTATAAAAATAACTTTTTTAAAAGGTATAAGTTTAACAAAGGTACATATGTAGGTATGTAATATTCGAGGATGTAACTTCTCCATCCCCAGTTTGTGAATTCTCCTGAATTCAGTGTGTTTTGATTTTTTTTAACTACATAAATATTATCTTATAAAACAAATTAGATTTAAATTTGAAAAATTAATATGTATAGTAAGAAATTAAGGGAATATTTATAGATAAAAGGTAGAGTAAGGAAATTTGTTTTTGATAATGAGTTTAATTCCATAAATGTTAAAGAATTTTTAAAATTTGAAAATATAGAGTTTCATACAACAAAACCACATAGTCATACAGGGAACTCAGATGTAGGCGGACTTAGGGCCGGTTACTCAATGTCTGGTTAACACTAATCTGCGGTTAAACATAGTTATCGACGTTACCGACTCCCTGTTGTATGCATGGAGTCGAAGACGTCGATAACGATGTTTAACCGCAGATTAGTGTTAACCAGACATTGAGTACCCGGCCCTTAATATGGGTGCATTGGTTATTATGCCTTTCAATTTATTAAATGAGGCAATAAAATTTGGATCATTTTGGTTAACTTTTCTTACTTTTTTTAAATAGTTTACCATCGGACCTGCTACTTTTGCATAATCACGTATACATTTTCGATAAAAGCCAGTTACTCCGAGAAAGGATTTTATTTGTTTAGTAGTTTTTGGAAGTTTAAGATTTTGAATTATTTTTATTTTTTCTGGATTTGGTTTTACACCTTCAGGAGTTAGAATATGTCCTAAGTATTGGGATTCTTTTTTTAAAAAGTCACATTTATCAACCTGAATTTTTAAATTAGCTTGTCGTAAAGTATTAAAAATTAGCCTTAAATTCTGAATGTGCTCTTTTAATGATGAACTAAAAATTAAAATGTCGTCCATATAGATTACACATATTCTATTTATAAATTCACGGAAGACTGAATTCATCAACCTTTGAAAGGTTGACGGAGCATTTTTTAGCCCAAATGGCATTCTAATGAATTCATAATGACCACTAGGAGTAGAAAATGCTGTTTTTTTCTATCTTCTTCTTTCACTTCAATTTGATAAAATCCTTTAGCCAGATATAAAGTAGTAAAGTATTGTGCTCTACCTAACTTGTCCAGGATGCCATTCAGATTTGGTATTGGATATTTATCATCGGTAGTGTATTTAGTATTTATTAAGTAGCCTATAATCAATTACAATTCTCCATTTTTTCTCTCTGGAATTATCTAATTTCTTTGGGACA